AAAAAAAAAAAAAAAAGCCAGAAAACACTGGGGTGCATTTTATAGGGCCTCTTGAGAAATACTTCCACATAACTGAGAGTTCATTCAAACACCGCTGGTGGTGGCCAGTTGGGTGACACTTGTACGTCACTGCCTCCTGCTCTACTTCACTCCTCACTCCCCCTGTGCCCCAGCATCCTGCCCTCCAGGATCAGAGTCCTCACAGAGTAGTGAGCATGAAGCCTGCCCTGCGGACTTTGCTTTCTAGGGAACCCAGACTAAGGCGAACATTTCTTCCTCCAAGGGTGTGTGACAGGTGAAATAAGTTTGTTCCTGCAAAGCACCTAGATCAGACCTTCTGTCTTCTCATCTCCCAGCTCCTCCCTCCCCTCTCCCACATCTGCCAACCACAAGGCCCTGCTGACTGCATCTCCAAAATAAATCCAGATTAGGTCCACCTCTTTCCATCCGCGGGGCCCCATCTCACCTGAGCCACCACCTTCTCCTGACCCGGACCCTGAGTGGGTCCTAACTCTAGCCGTCTATACTCTGCATTCTCAGTGACCTCACCAGAATGCAAATCTGGTTGTACCACTCTGCTCTTTTTTTTTTTTTTTTTTTTCTTGTGTCAGATCCATATGGGAGCTTTTTTGTTTTGGATGTAGTCTCACTCTGTCACCAGGCTGGAGTGCAGTGGCGACATCTCCGCTCACTGTAACCTCTGCCTCCCAGATTTGAGTGATTCTTCTGCCTCAGCCACCCATGTAGCTGGGACTACAGGTGCCTGGGCCCAGCTAATGTTTCTATTTTTAGTAAAGACAGGGTTTCCAGGAGGCGGAGGTCGCAGTGAGCCAAGATTGTGCCACTGCACTCCAGCCTGGCGCCTGGTGACAGAGTGAGACTCTGTCTCAAAAAAAAAAAAAAAAAAAAAAAAAAGACAGGGTTTCACCATGTTAGCCAGGATGGTCTTGATCTCTTGACCTCATGATCTGCCTGCTTCAGCCTCCCAAAGTGCTCGGATTACCAGCATAAGCCATGGCACCCGGCCAGTCCCACTGCTTTTAAAAAATTGTTTAAAGTCCTTGGGGCAGTGAAGCTTGACTCTCTGGTCTCTTTCCTGACCACACTCAACTCTTCAGTCTACTGCTCTCCTCTCCTGTCAACTTTGTGCCCCGCATTGGCTCCTCCCAGAAGAGAATGGTCTCTGCCCTCGTGCCTCTCTTCACCTGGCTGACACCGAGTATCAGCGGAAACAGGGAGCCTTTGATTTAACTTTTTGTTAAGAATTTTTTAAAAATTTTGAGATAGTCTCACTCTGCTGCCTGTCAGGCCCCCAAGTCCAAGCCTGGCTATTATAGCCTTGGTGATCCACACTTACACCTCTGGATGATCCCCGGGAGCCAGGAAGTCTGAAGTAACCATGAGTAATCAGGTGGCCACAGAAAGAAGTGAAGCAACTTGTTCCTGCCTCAACTAATTGCTCTCTCCCTGCAACCTGCAACCACTGTTCCTGCTCAGGCTTGCAAAAATTCCCTCCTGGACACTGAGTTTCCCAAAACCCCCACCCCTGTAAATATGTAACTTATGGCATCTTACCCTCTGCTTGCAACCAATACCCCCACCATTATGATCATGCCTGTTTGTAATAAATAACCTCTGCCCTTGTAACCATGCATCCCGTGACGCCCTTCCCCTCCCCAAAATAAATTACCACCTTTAACTGATCATTTGCCCCAGTCTATATAACCAGTCCCCTTTCCTACCCCCTTTGCCTAACTCCTTTTTTGGACTTGGCCCGATTGCACCCAAGCAGGAAATAACCAGCTTTGTTGTCTGCACAAAGCCTGCCTGGTGGTCTCTTTACACAAGTGACACACCTGATATTGCCTATGCTGGGAGTGCAATGGCACAATCTCAGCTCCCTGCAGCCTGGACGTCTGAGCTTAAGCAATTCTCCCACCTCAGCCTCATGAGTAGCTGAAGCTACAGGCACATGCCAGCATGCCCACCTAATTTTTTCTAATTTTTGTAAAGATAGGATTTCACCACGTTGCCAGGTGGTCTTGAACTCTTGAGTTCAAACGATCCTCTTGCCTCAGCCTCCCAAAGTACTGAGGTTACAGACGTGAGCCACTGCATCCAGCTGAAGAATTTTTTTTTTTTTTTTTTTTTTTTTGAGACGGAGTCTCACTCTGTCTCCCTAGCTGGAGTGCAGTGGCACAATCTCGGCTCACTGCAACCTCCACCTCCCGGGTTCAAGTAATTCTCCTGCCCCAGCCTCCCAAGTAGCTGGGATTACAGGCATGTGCTACCACACCTGGCTAATTTTGTATTTTTAGTAGCGATGGAGTTTTACCATATTGGCCAGGCTGGTCTCGAACTCCTGACCTCAGGTGATCCACCCGCCTCAGCCTCCCAAAGTGCTGGATTTATAGGCATGAGCCACGGTCCCCAGCAAATAAATTTTTAAACATGTGAAAAATGAGAAGGAATAGTCTAATGAGCCCAACGTACCCATCACAGCTTCAACAGTGATCACTAAGAGGCTCAGCTTTCATCCACACTTCCACCCACTCCCATCCATGGCTTCCCTCTCCTCAGAGTATTTGGAAGAGAATTCTACACATCATTTTACCAGTACTTCCAGACATAACTTTAGAGGATAAAGACTTCTTTTCACAAAAGCAGAACCACAACATCATTATCACACCTATACAATTTAATGACTGTTTCTTAAATCATCAAATATGCCATCAAAATTCATGTTTCACCAAACTATTTTCTGAATCTTTAAAAAAATACAGCCTGTTTAAATCAAGATATAAAGTCTATGCATTGTTTTTATTTATTTGTTTATTTATTTTTGACTCAGGATCTGGCTCTGTCACCCAGGCTGGAGTGCAGTGGTGTGAACTCGGTTCGCTGCAACCTCCGTCTCATAGGCTCAAGCAATCCTCAGGTGCACCCCACCATGCCCGGCTAATGGTCGTAGTTTTTGTACTGATGGGTTTTCACCACGTTGCCCAGGCTGGTCTCAAACTCTTGGCCTCAAGTGATCTGCCTGCCTCAGCCTCCCAAAGTGCTGGGATTGCAGGTGTGAACCACCGAGCCCGGCCGAAGTCCACACATTGTGTTTGGTTAATATGTCTGTGTGGTCAATGGGCTGTAAGCCCCTCTCATGGGGCCTTTAAGCATCATCCCAGGATGAATGAGTATTTGCTTAGACATACGTGTGTTTTCTCTAGACAGAGGGTGGGACTAAGGCATGTTTCCCCCTATGGACCTGGTATCCAATATGTGCTCAACAAAGGCTGGGTGAAAACAGGAATTTTTCCTCTCCACCCTGCAACAGCGGCACAGCCCCTTTCTCCTTAATACGATGGTGACACCGTTCTGGCATTTGGCCTTTGTATCCCTCAGGTGCATCACAAAGTTCCAAGACTCCAAATAAAATTCAAGACTCCAAATGTCTCCGCGGGAAGACCCCTTATAAGGCCAGCAGGTAAAATGTGGCTTCTTGACAGACTCGTGAGGCTGAAATGCCGCCCTCCCATCTGAGACAGAGGAGTGCTGAAAAGCTGTTGGAGAGCAGGCAGACTGATTCCAAGACAGAGGCCACCGGTGGGGTGGGGTGGAATGGGGGAAGGGCAGCAGGGCTGCTGAAGATGCAGACAGGGACTCGGAGGTCAGCTGGGCTCTGAATTCTCAGCAAACCTCTGGATCCCTAGGGCAGGTCACAGAACTGTTAGTGATAGGACCAAAGTACCCAATCAGGTTTTTCTGCTACAAGAGACTCAGGTCTCACAGGAGGATCTGGAGTGCTTCATTCATGCCCTCCTCTTCCCTCCCCACACCCCCCAGCAACCTTGGTGGAAGCTTTATCTGGTCTGGACGTGAAGGATGAACTGGGACCTTTGACGCCCACCCACTGAGAGGCTGGCTTCTGGGAAGGCATGGGTCAGGATCAGTTCTATCTGGTTCTCTTGTTTGCTGCCCATCTGTAAAAGCTGAGAATGGCAGAGGGCGGCCCAGTGTAGATGTTCAGGTTTTAGCTTTTTTGGATTTTCCCGCTTCTGCTGTACAGGAAATAACTTACTGTCTAAACACTATACTATCCCGTTAAATGTCAGGACTACTGTCTTAGAGAGGCCTGAAACAGCTCATGACGTTAAGTACTGTAAGTCCCAGGAGGAAAGCCCAGCAAGTGGAATCCAAGACGTTCTCATGTGTTCGGAGACAGGGCCATCACCAGGATTCGGACAAGGAACAGGGAGGTTCGGTTTGTGTTCCAGTTCTGAGCCCTTGACCTCGTCCCTCGAGAAGCTGGCCTTTGCAACCCGGAGCCAGCGCTGCCCAGCTGACCACGCCATGCGCGGGAGGCCACCAGTACCCCACTCTCCTGGCAGCCCAGCCGGAGACACAGCTGCCTGGGAGAGTCCGAAGATAATGTCAGGCAGCCCTGTAGGGCCAGAAATACCTTCTGTCCCTCCCGCTTCTCGGCTCTTCCATTCGGGGAGCCCCGGACTGGCCTGCGGTGCACGAAAGCGCGCAAGGGTGGGTGGGGGACCTGCTGCCGCCCAGGGAGACGGTGCTGTGTTCTTTGGGAACCGGGGGGGGGGGGGGGCGGGAACCGTCCTCCAGTCTTTTTGCCCCAGGCTGGAGCAAGAAGATTCTCTCCGGGCAGAGATGACGGAAAATCGGTGCAGCCAGAAGGGTCTCCCTGGCGAGGGTAGGGGTGGGGGGTGGTCACGGCCCGGGGGCTCCGGCACGAAGCTTCGGGGGTCTCTACGTAGCCTCCACCCACCAGCCTCGCAGGGAGAGTGTGGATACAGGAGCGGCCCCAAGAGAATCCCCGGGGACTGGAGGGCGGAGGGGCAGCACCCGGAACAAAGGCCCGCAGAGGGGTCCTGGAGAGAGCGGCTCCCCGGGGGCGGCTCTCCTCCCTCCCCTCCCTCCCCTCCTCTCCCGTCGGCTCCTCCTCCTCCTCCCCTTCCTCCCCCAAAGGCCCGGCCGGCGCGTAGCCCGAGCAGCGCCAACTTCGCCAACGGTTCCCAAGTTGCCGGGCGCGCAGGGGTGGGAGCTGGGTGGGGTGAGGAAGAGGAGGAGGAGGAGGAGAGCTCCCGGGCGCCTTGGACGCGGTTCAGGAATCCGCTGCCGCTCGCCGGCTCGGGCCGGAGCGGGGAGGGCGCCAGGCAGGACCGCTAGCCCGCTTGCTGCGCAGGACGGCGCCCGCCTGGCGCCGCTTCCCTTCCCGCGTGCCGACCCGCCGGGCCGCGCCTGCATCCCTCCTGCCCGCCCCGGGGAGGGCGCACAGCCCGGGCCGCGCGGGCGCCGGGGCCGCGGAGCCGCTTCTGCCGGGATCTTCCAAGAGGAAGGCGAAGTTGCGAGCGGATGCTGCCCGCGCCGGACCCCAGCCGCGGAGGGTCGGGGCCGCCAGCGCCGGAGGAGCCTCGGCGGCCGGGGTAAGTAGGGCGCCGGCGTCCGGGAACTGCAGCCGGGCCGGGGGAGGCCGCACAGCCGGGAGCCCCCCGCCTTCTGGGTACGGGCTGGCGCGCCAAACTTTGGAGGGAGAAGGGGAAGAAGCGGAGGGTGGGAGGGGGAGTTCCCAGCTCGGGGAAAAGCCCAGGCAGGCGCCCACAAACCGCTGCACCCGGATCACACCTGCCAGGTACACACAGCTCATCGCCACTCATGCCCCGCACACGCGCAGGCCAGTCTGCGCACACCCACAACGGCCAGGCACGTGCCACACACCGAAATGCACATTCCTTGGAGTACTGGGGGCTTTGGCCTCCACACCAGGCACGTCCTCACGCCTCTCCAGCACATCCACGGCCTTTGTCTGCTGCCCCGGCAGCCCCCAGGGAGAGGGAGCCCCCAAAGCGCAGCGGGCGGGAGAAAGGCTGCCTGGGCTTTGAAAACTCGTGGCCAGAACCTCGAGACCAAGGGTGGGGAGAGCAGGCGTTGCAGTCGGTTCTCGGGGTTCAGCAGGAGCGGATTTGGTGTGGAAACTCGGTGTCTGGGTGATGTGTCTGGGTGTGCGAAGCCCTTCCGGAGGCGAGGCCCGGAGAGAGGAGGGAGTGATTCATAAACTCAGAGCCGGCGCGCCTGGGTCTGTGAGCAGAGGGGAAGAGGCTGGCAGGCCGTTGCTGCGCTAGACAGCAGGATGGTGGCCGTGACAGTCTTTCGGGGAAAAAGGGTCCCTACCCTTCCCCCCAGCGGATGTGTTACCTCCGGGACTTCCAGGGGAAGTGAGTGAGGAGATTCCAGCCCTGGGTGTGGACGGGGGGAGGGAAGGTGGGCGGATTTAAGCCTAAAAGGTTAGGGAGAAGCCAGGGCAGGCCTGAAGCCTTAATTATTTTCCTTGCACCTGAACTTGTGTTTGGTTTCTGATGCGTGGTGTTCCTGGGCCCCAAGATGTACCAGGGATTTTGCTGGGCCTAGCATAGTGCCTGGCACATACTTGCTTGATGACACCAGTAACTGACATTCTTTATGGACTCACTGTGAGGCAAGCCCAGTGGGCCTCTGCTGGGTTGGACTTGGTCTTCCAGCAGAGGAGGGGGCCTGAGTAGCTCCTCGGAGCCCTGCCTAATCCGTTTGGGCCAGTGGCCCAGGCAGTGTGTGTTCCACTGAGTCCTGTGGGCTGCCCTTGGGGGACTTGAGCTCATCATTGACCTCTGCCCCCCTAAGAGGGCAGCAGGAAAAGTTTCATTTCTGTATCTGGCTAAGATGAGGTTGATGTGGGTTTTGGTAGATGGCAGGCTATTTGGCAGATTCTGTGGGATAGCCATTGAAGAATAACTTTAGATTCATCAATCTTCCCATCTCCTGGCTGCAGGGGAAAGGGGTGGGTAAGTGGAGAAAGAGATGGGCCAGGCTGCTGGGCATGTGCTGGGGGCAGGAGGAACATGGGAACATGTAGCATTTGGGGGCAGCTGCTTTTCTTCCTGGCCGCTGATGGCTTGGCTGGAGATGGGTCTCTTGAAAGGTCTAGCAGCTGTGTCCTGCAGCAGTGGCTTGGCTCTGTGGTGGCAGCAGGTGGAGGGGTGGTCACAGCCCTGTACCGAGTATTGCTGTTGGTTCTTCTGTGCCAGCTTGCATGAGTTTTCCAGAGGAACAGAAACATCCATGTTTCCTGGAACTGGATTGCCAGTAGTCTTGGGATTGAGAGTGCACGATGATGTGGGGCTGGCCTGGGCATGTCATTGAAACGAAATGTGTCATTCCCCACCCCTGCCCCCTTGTGAAGAGCTCTGACTAGGTTCAGTGTGCATTTCAAACTTCTAAATGCTGAAATTAGCGAGTCACATGGGTAGTAACACCAAGGACTGTGGCCTCAGATGAAAGAGGAGGGGCTCTGGGCTTGGCTACCCCCAGTTTCAGGTGGAACCTCGCAGCCAGTTCCTTCCCCATATCCCCTTTCCACTTTCATTATGCCCTCTGTGAATCGAGAGCTCTGTATATGTTACTTAAATAAATCATAACATCCCTATGAGGTTAGCATTTCATCTCCATTTTGCAAACTGAGGATCAGAAAAGTTACGTAAGTTTTTCAACATCACACAGCTAGTAAGAGACAAAGCCAATATTTGTGTGTGTGTGTGTGTGTGTGTGTGTGTGTGTGTGTGTGTAGACAGTCTCGCTCTGTTGCCAAGCTGCAGTGGCGGGATCTCTGCTTACTGCAACCTCCGCCTCCCAGGTTCAAGTGATTCATCTGCCTCAGCTTCCCGAGTAGCTAGGACTACAAGCTCACGCCACCAAGCCCAGCTAATTTTTGTATTTTTAGTAGAGACGAGGTTTCACCATGTTGGCCAAGATAATCTTAATCTCTTCACCTCGTGATCCTCCCACATCGGCCTCCCAACGTGCTGGGATTACAGGCGTAAGCCACCATGACCAGCCATATATATATTTTTTAGCTTGATGTTAGGTTCGGGGTACATAGGCAGGTTTGTTACATAGGTAAATTGCATGTCATGGGGGATTGGTGTACAGATTATTTCATCACCCAGATAATAAGCATAGTACCCAATAAATAGTTGCTGGTTTTGATTTAGTTTTCTTTTGTTTGTGTTTGTTTTGAGACAGGGTCTCTATTGCTCAGGCAGGAGTGCACTGGCACAATCACTGCCACTCACCAAAGCCTCGACCTCCGAGGCTCAGGTGATCCCTCCTGCCCCAGCCTCCCAAGTGGCTGGCATCACCATGCCTGGCTAATTTTTTAAATATTTTTTGTAGAGACAGGGTTTTACCATGTTGCCCAGGCTGGTCTCAAACTCCTGAGCTCAAGCGATTTGCCTCCCTCAGCCTCCCGAAGTGCTGGGATTACAGGCCTGAGCCACCGCACAGGCCCATGATAGGTAGTTTTTTATCTTCACCCTCCTTCCTCCCTCCACCGTCAAGTAGGCCCCGGTGTCTGTGGTTCCCTTCTTTGTGTTTAGATGTACTCAATGTTTAGTTCCCACTTCTAAGTGAGAACATGCAGCATTTGGTTTTCTGTTCCTGTGTTAGTTTGCTCAGGACAATAGCCTCCAACTCCATCCATGTTGTTGCAAAGGACATGATCTTACTCTTTTTGTGGCTGCATAGTATTTCATGTTGTGTATCTACCACATTTTCTTTATCTAGTCTACTGTTGATGGGCATTTAGGTTAATTTTATGTTTTTGCTATTGTGACCAGTGCTGTGATAAACATGTGTGTGCATGTGTATTTTGGATATGTACCTAATAATGGGATTGCTTGGTGGAATGGTAATCCTGCTTTGAGTTATTTGAGAAATCACCAAACTGCTTTCCACAATGACTGAACTAATTTCCATTCCCACCAGTAGTATATAAGCACTCCTCTTCTCTTCTCCTCTTCTCTTCTCTTCCCTTCTCTTCTCTTCTTTTCTCGTCCCTTCTCTTCTCTTCTCTTCTCTTATTCTCTTCTTTTTTATTTTTGAGACAAGGTCTTGCTCTGTCACTAGGCTGGAGTGCAGTGGTGTGATCTCGGCTCACTGCAGCCTCCGTCTCCCGGGTTCAAGCGATTCCCCTGCCTCAGCCTCCTGAGTAGCTGAGACTGCAGGCACCCACCACCACGCCTGGCTAATTTTATATATGTATATATGTAGTTTAGTAGAGACAGGTACATTTCACCATGTTGCCAGGATGGTCTCGATCTCCTGATCCGCCCGCCTCAGCCTCCCAAAGTGTTGGGATTACAGGTGTGAGCCACCACACCTGGCCAGCACTCCCTTTTCTCCACAACCTGGCCAGGATCTGTTATTTTTTGACTTTTTCATAGTAGCTATTCTGACTGGTATGATATGGTATCTCATTGTGCTTTTGATTTGAGTATTTCCAATTAGTGATGTTGACCATTTTTTCATATGCTTATTGGCCACATGCATGTCTTCCTTGGAAAAGCACCTGTTTGTGTCCTCTGCCCACTTTTTTTTTTTTTTTTTTTTTTTGAGATGGAGTTTCACTCTTGTTGCCCAGGCTGGAGTGCAATGGTGGCACAATCTCGGCTCACTGCAACCTCTGCCTTCCAGATTCAAGCGATTCTCCTGCCTCAGCCTCCCAGTAGCTGGGATTACAGGTGCCTGCCACCACACCCGGCTAATTTTGTATTTTTATTAGAGACAGGGTTTCTCTATGTTGGTCAGGATGTTGAACTCCTGACTTCAGGTGATCCACCAGTCTCAGCCTCCCAAAGTCCTGGGATTACAGATGTGAGCCACCATGCCTGGACCTTTGCCCGCTTTTTAATGGGATTGTTTTTTGCTTGTTAACTTGTTCAAGTTTCCTATAGATTCAGGATATTAGACTTTTGTTGGATGCATAGTTTGCAAATATTTTCTCCTCTTCTGTAGGTTGTCTGTTTACTGTCGATAGTTTCTTTTGCTATGTAGAAGCTCTTTAATTAGGTCCCATTTGTCAATTTCTGTTTTTGTTGCAATTGCAAAGCCAGTATTTGAACCTGGATCGTCTGACTCCAGAATCCACCCTGTCTCCACCATGCCAGGCTGGCTGTCTGCAAGGTCCTTATTGGTTCTCCATGGTAACAGGGAAACAGCACTGAAGCTTCTTACTAACGTGGTCCCAGGGCTTCTGCTTGCATTCCTCTTTTTCCACATGCTCTGCCGAGCCTGGATTATACCTTAGGCTGTGGAATCAAAGGCTGGGTGGTACCAGGCTGCTGGAGCCTTCTGTGTGGCTCTGGAGTCAGGAAACTATGGCGATTTGGAGGGCGACACAGGGAGAGATGACTCACTGCTTATCTGAGAAATTGCGACAAAGCTGCCACTTGTGACCATACCTTGAATAGGAAAGAAATGGCCAGGTAGACCAGACATCCTCAAATGGGTTACTGTATTCCCCCCCCGCCTTTTCCCCACTGGTCCTCTCCAGGGTTATCTATTACCTGGGGAGATCAGCCCTTACCTGACACCTCCTATTGTCATTTACCTGGTG